GGTCCTCCAAGAAGGAACGGAGCCAGGCCAGTGCCAGGCCACCAATTCCCCGCTCAGAGAGCCTCCCCAGGAGGATATCGTGGTCAATGGTATCAAAGGCCGCTGAGATAACGAGGAGGACCAGCAGAGACATTTTGCCCCTGTCAACCTCCCACAATAGGTCATCACACAGGGCGACCAGTGCCATTTCTGTAATGTGGCACGGCCTGAAGCCTGACTGAAATGGATCCAGGGCATCTGTTTCCTACAAGTGCACTTGAAGCTGGTCGGCCACCACCCTCTTGACCACCTTGCTTAGGAAAGAAACATTTGGTGCCGCCAAACTTGCTTTCTTCCTAATGGGCCTAATGAGTGTCTCCTTGAGGGCAGATGGAAACCTGCCCTCAAGGAAAGACCCATTGATTATTACAGTGACCCATTCCATTGTTATATGCCTGGCTGCTTTGATTAGCCAGGCCGGGCAAGAGTCAAGGGAGGAGGTGGTGGCACGACAGCGATCAAGTGCCCTGGCCACAGAATCAGGCGTAACAGGCTGAAAGGAGTCAAAAGTTACCGGGCAAGACGGAGTGCTCCCAATTCTGTTTCCAGAACCATTGAGATTAGGTGATTCTCAAGACCCAGAGTGTTATGAGAGGCTGAAATATTTTCCCTCTGGTTTTACTGTGTCCATATATCTTTTTTGCATATGAGAGAGAAAGAGAGAGAGAGAGAGAGAGAGAGATGCAGTAAACATCGAGGGGGGGGGAAGCGAACATGCTCTTATCTGGGGATGGATTAATTCAGAGAAGAAACAGAAGTACAGGAATAATTGTACTGATGATTTCCATGCAGCTCAGTAGTAGTGACCCTGTCGAAGATGCTGTCTGTAGCAAAATGAAAGCTGCAGCCCCGGGCGAGCCATGTGCCCTTCTGTAGGCTGTTTCTATTCATGGATGGTGGTCTTGGCAGTGATCCACTGGTCTTATGTCATTAGAAGGGTGACCGTGTGACTGACTAGCTGACAGCTGGCTGTCAGTTAAAGATCTGGGACTCAGGAGGGAGTTCTCATTCAGAGAAAGCTGCTTGGTTCAAAAACAGTGAAACGGATCCATCAATAATGATGGAGAAAAAACAAAAGAGGCAGGGTCACAGATGCACTTTGATAGAGGCAGATCTGGCACTCTAAGAATGCTGGGATATTTGGTCAGAGAGCAATTTATTCCTGCTCAAGGGTAAGGACAGAATCAGCATGAAATGGCACGATGAACTCAAGCCCATTGGGCTTTGAAGAGTTCCTTGCAATGTAATAGCCCACAGCCATCACTTGCTTGCTTCATTTCTGTATAAAAAATCTTTGGATATGGCAGTTTTGAGCTACATGCAAGTTTACAAACACTATCCAGCAA